AACAGGAAGGCTGACCACAAGGAAGGAAGGCTGTTGATTTTTTAACTGATCGATTAATTCATTCATTCATTTACTTACTCGTTTTTCATTAATCAGATGTTTATTCTGCATCTACTATGTTCCAGGTATTCAAACAGACACAGTGAGAGTAAGATTAATATGAAGCCCTGTCTCCTAAAAGAGCTTAGACAAGTTAGAGAAGGTACAGTCAAGACAGTCTGTATACAAGTATTAGGAAATTCAAAAACTGATTACTCCCAATGGGAAAGGTATGTAGCATTAAAACTAACTTACATATATAACGTCTATATTTTAATTCTCTACAATGATTATAAAGGAAAGAATTTCAGCTATCTACTGAAGATCATGATTTTGTTTTTATTTTTTTTTCATAGTTAACAAAGTGAACTTGATATTCTAACAGATGAATATGAGTACAGGTTTTTGTTAGCTGGGTTTTGCCTGGTACAGAATCTGTGAGTAACTTGTATATCCCAAAGGTTTATTTGGAAAGGAGTTTTTTCTAGGAATCTTTTAAGGTTCTTTCCACAATCTTAAGATTTTACATTCTATATTGTTCTTAAATAATTCGTTATTCAGATTTGGGGGATTCAGAAGAAATTTACCATTGGGATAATGGTAAAATGTTGTTTATGCTTTTTTATATGTTAAAAGTATGGATTTTTCTAACCCCATCAAACTTATAGCAAAAAAATTATGGATTATTAAATGAGCCTTCAGAAGCCTTTTTAATTTTGACTTTTGCAGAGTGCCTTTTATGAATACTGTTTAAATGTTTTATTAGTACTACCATTATTAGTCCTAATTTTGTGTCTTGGAAGTAGGAAAGTAGGATGTGCAGGAAGATGTATGTTAGAAATAAAAGTTTATTTCTTAAGCCTTGGCTCTAGGCAAAACTTTGATGCAGCCAAGATTCTCTTATGGTTTTTTTCAACACCCACTTCTTCATCTCTCTTCCTTTCCTAGTATTTGACACGTTGACTGCCACACTGGGGAAAAAAAAAATTCTCTTAGGGATTTTATTATGAAAATAGAATAAAAACTTCTAAAACAAAAGACTCCTTTCTAATTTAATGAAAAATTTGTTATATCATCAATAAAAAAGTAATGTAAAAACTTGAAAATCAACAATGTAAAAAGTAATGTGAAAACTTGAAAAATAGTTCATTAAGGGTAAAACGTTTTTCTCGACTTATCAGTCTCAAGTGTAATTTAAAGGTAAACAGAAATACAAAAATGAAATTTATTGACTTCATTTAATCCACATTTTTAGAATTAAGTTGTCAGTAGGTAAAGAGACAATGAAGTTGTCAGTAGGTAAAGAGTTATGTAGGCTTCATGAGGCCCTGGGCTCACAATTAGACTAAGTTAAATACAACTCACATGGCAGTCAATGTGTTAAGTGACACACACCCATATGCTGCCTTGGCCTGGCAAGAGTGATCACATTCAAAATTCTCTTCCTTCAGGATCAATCTTTGTCTCTGAGTAGGTGAAGGTTGTGATTTACCTAATTCATTTCACACTGAGGTGAATGAGTGCCCATTTACTAACTTTCTTTGATGTATTTGTACTAACTTTCTTCTTTGTATTTTGGTAGTATTAACCCAAACAAATTTCTAAACAGTGAAATTTCAGGTAATATAACTTAATAAAAATTCTGGAGCAGTGAGGTTTGTTTCTGTATTTCATCATTTTCTGAAAAGTAAGTCAATGAATCGTGTATAATGAGGGTAGAATGAAGAGTGGGGAGAGAGAGGAGTCTAGGATCTGTGGCTCAGGTAGGGAGATGCTGTGGACTGAATTGTGTCCCTCCCGCTGTATGTGTTGAAGCCTTAACCCCCACTGGGATGGTATTTGGATTGGCGGTAGGGGGAGCCTTTGGGAGATAATTAGGTTTAGATGAGGTCATGAGGGCCTTCACAATGGGATTAGTGCCATTATAAAAAGAGACACCAGAGAGCTTGCTTCCTCTGTCTTTCTGCCACGGGAAGACACAGCGAGAAGATGGCCGTCTGCAAGCCAGGAAGAGAGCCCTCACCAAACCCAAGCAGACTGGCACCTGGATCTTGAACTTCCAGCCTCCAGAACTGAGAAAATAAATTGCTGTTATTCAGGCCACCTAGTTTGTGGTATTTTGTTATGGTAACCCAAGCTGAAGGAAGACAGGCATTCATCAAACTCTGGGGTGCGTTGGCATGTTAGTTGAGATTTCTCTGAGACATTCAAAATAGATGTCCATTAGAGAGTTTGATATATCCAGCCATACCTCAGCAGGGAGTTCTGGACAAGGTGCATAGAATTAGGACTCTTCAGTAATGGTGACTATGGGAAGTGGTAAAGTCACCTTAGTGGGTTAGAAGAGAGCTGATGACAACCCACAAAGAAGCTGCACATCTGGAGCAAGCAGGAAGAGTCAGGAGAGCCAGGAGAGGAAGAGGGGAGTAGTTACTCTATTGATCTGGACAGAAATGGAATCTCACTGCTCTTTTCACAATTGCTTTCCAAGGTACTTAACACTTCACTGCTTTTGGCTTACTTTCTTTAAAGAAAACATTGGTGAATTACTGTGGCAGGGTTTGTGAAATGCTTTAAATAACCAAATAAATTATTTACTTGGATCATTTTGTGACTGTATTATTTGGGAAATTGTGAAAAATGTGTCATTAGCAATGTTAGTCTCACTTTTAAAATGTTGTGACGCATTTCCTAGTGCTTTTTGTTTAGAAAATGCTTTATTGCCTGTTTCATTTCTCGGCATAAACTGAGGCAGGTAGCCATTGTAAAACCTTTTTTTGGATACACTAGGAAATTGCAGATTTGTTCATGATTCAATAACAATAACATTGCAGCCCAAATTACAACTTCAGTCCACTGCTTTTCTTGTTTTGATATACTCTCACTTTAAGTAAATATTTGTGTTTAAAAAGGAAAATAAATGCATAGTGGATATGATTAATATTCTAATGTTATAATTACTTGTAGATCTTAACTATGAAAAACAGGTTGCATCCATATCCTATCCTAGAAGTTCTCAGCATTTTCAAAAAAAGATGGTTGAAAGTAGTAGAAAGTAATACATAGATAATAGGTAGATAGATAGACAGATAGTTAGATAAATTTACCTGGACAGTAAACAAAGTGAGGCTGGGCGACATGGCTCACATCTGTAATCCTAGTACTCAGGAGGCCAAAGCAGGAGGATTGCTTGAGGCCAGGAGTTCGAGACTAGACTGAGCAAGAGCAAGACCTCTCTCTACCATAAAAAAAAATAGAAAAAATTAGCTGAATGTGGTGACTCACACCTGTAGTCCTAGCTACTTGGGAGGCTGAGACAGGAGGCTCGTTTGAGCCCAGGAGTCTGAGGCTACAGTGAGCTATGATGACACCACTGCACTCTAGCCTGGGCAACAGAGGGAGATCTTGTTTCAAAAAAAAAGTGAGCAAAAGTGAGACACTTAGCTAAATCTTAGGACAAAATATCAACTGCATGATACCCTTTTACATGCCTTGTGAATACATCTGATCCACCTGTCTGTATTTTGCTAGTTGAGGTCATCACTGTGTTAGTCATCTGGGCTGAAGTAGTACCAGGAGAGAAGTGAGTACAAGTCAACTATAAGAGATTGCTGAGGACATGGGGGGATCAGTATGTGATTGGTTTGAGTCTCCAAAGGGATTCAGTATTAGGCTTTATGGCAAAGAGTGTTGATTTGTGGTTCAGAACCTGACCTTAAAATGTTTCTAGGGCCCAGGCTGCAAATAACTAGTTTAAATTCAAGAAGACATTTAACCATTGTTGTTGTGCTTTTTTTTTTTCATTTTGATAGAACCCTGTTTTTGAAGAGTGAAAATTTTCAAATCAGGCTGACCAAACTTAGTTATATCTGGTTTTATCATAGTTATATCTTAGTTATATCTGGTTTTATCATCCTATCTGCAAAGCAGTCTTTCTCATGTTATATGATTTTCAATTTCTGAGGGCACTAACATTACTTTTGCCTACATTTATTGATCTGTGTCTGTATTGCCTATTGGCTTGTGAGTTCCCTAAGAGTAGGACAATATCTTGTACATTGTGCATCTCCAGTGGGTGGCCCATGGTCATTAGGTATTTGTTGATAAGTGAATGAATGAATGGGATGTGCAGTTGGGCTAACCACCACCTGGCTGCCCTCTGTGTCAAGGTGTGCATTGTATACCATTGCAACCATGTTATGGTCTGTGCTAGGTCTTCCTTCAAAACCCCATCTAAGTCATGAAGTAGGCAGGCTGTTTTGGGAGGAAAGACTAAGAATAAGGAACAGCATGTAATGCAATAGCAGGAGGTGAGTCAGCTCAAAGTAAACATTTTACACTTCACTGTGGGTTACTTAGGTCTACACAGCTCAGCAGCTAATGAAACTGCATTTCACTGGAGTATCTTCCTTTTGGTCTGTGTGCCTTCATGGTGAGATATGGGTCTGTGGTGGAAATTTGGGGGACTAGAATCATCTGTCACTTATAGATTGAAATAGATGCTTTGTACTACTGAAGACTCTTCCAGAAAAAAATCAAATAGCCCCCAAAGCTGAAATTACTTACTGTTGGTAATATAGAACTGACTTCTTGGAGGATCTGGGGTTTGACCATTATTTTAAAATCTAAGAATTAAGTTTGAACAGTGCCGAAGGAATAAGCATACATTTTCTTACATTATCAAGTAAGCAAATGTGATGCTATAGCATATTCTAACCTGACAGGCTAAATTGTTTCTGACCATTGAGTGAAGTGAATTGCTTGGGATATTGGAGTGTAATAAACTGAAAGTTCTAAATATTTCTCAAAAAGCCAGAAGTATGCAGTGTTTATTTAAAGGGCCTATAGTTTCCTGTTATCCTTATGTGTAAATAAATGTAATTTTTGATTTTTGTTTTGCTTAAGTTGTGTCAGTATTCAGACCATGTCAAGTTCTAACTAATCTTCTACTTGGGTTTTAGATGTTAACAGTGGCCCAGCAAGGCATGATGTTTTACATGGCTCATGTGAAGGCTTGAAGGGCCTCATCAGACCTCATGAGGAATCAAAGAAAAATGGGAAAGGCAAAAAGGTCAGTGTGTGAAAATATTTTAAACTTTTAAATGCTGCTACATCATAATGTTCCACTCTGGGTTAATGAAACATAAACTAGTCTATCCAACTTGTGTCTTATTTAAAAAATTGATTAAGGTTGTATGTTGGAAAAACTCTGAATATCAAACTGAGAGCATTGGTTGCATTCAGGACAAAGAGCTACTATTAATAGACCCAAGCTTTCTCCTATCACTTTGCCAATGCATTTCTTGTAAAAATGCCCGCAGCTTCGCTCTAACAGAGAATGTTGGTTGTGCCAGCATTTGTTGCTGTTTTGTAATCTGAATAAATATTTACTAGACAGGAGGTGAAGAACCCAAACATCTTTCATTTGCAAATTAATCAAAGTTTGACCTCAAGCCTGCAGAGTGAAAAGTTTATACACCAACAGGCAGGGACATCCATTCCTTTGTAATTTCAGCTTTAAAAACCTAGCTCTTGGCCGGGCGCTGTGGCTCACGCCTGTAATCCTAGCTCTTGGGAGGCCGAGGCGGGCGGATTGCTCAAGGTCAGGAGTTCAAAACCAGCCTGAGCAAGAGCGAGACCCCGTCTCTACTATAAATAGAAAGAAATTAATTGGCCAACTGATATATATATAAAAAAATTAGCCGGGCATGGTGGCGCATGCCTGTAGTCCCAGCTACTCGGGAGGCTGAGGCAGAAGGATCACTCAAGCCCAGGAGATTGAGGTTGCTGTGAGCTAGGCTGATGCCACGGCACTCACTCTAGCCTGGACAACAAAGTGAGACTCTGTCTCAAAAAAAAAAAAAAAAAAAACCTAGCTCTTTCTCCAAAAAGAAAAAGTTCTCTTATCCCAGGCTAGGCTCATGTGAATCATGTCAGGAGGATTTAAAATTTTTTGATCATTCAACATCTGCTTTCATTGCTTAAATTTGAATTTAGCCACTCAGTATTATCTCATGCCTCATTTTATGAGGCCAAAGAAGTTTCATACGATGAATCCTGGATTCAAACTGCACTGATAACAGGAAGTGAAAATGATGGTGATTACAGCAAGAAGTGTTTGCACTGGGGCATCGGCTCTGGACACTCAGGCTTAAACAGATGCACGGCTACCCTCTCTACCCGTGGATATAGCTGCTTTGTTCCTTATATTGGCATTGGTTAAAAGACATTTAAAATTGCAGAGGTTTCCTGGAAAGTCTGCTGTAACTTAGAGAAACTTAGATGTCTTTACTCGTGCTTTCTGGTTTGTCTTAGAAAAAAAAAAATGGAGTAGAAAAAAGGAAAGGAACCATATTTTGGGTAGAGCAACAGATTTGTGGAGATAGAAATCATCAAGTTCCCCTAATGTATTTGTATATAAGGGACACCCAGGCATCTGGCATCGGTCTTAGGATTGCACTGAGCATCCCCCAGTGTTGCGGCCTTTGGACCTGCCCAGCCAGTTGCCTCCCGGGGATCGTGCCCTTCGTAGAAAGCTCATGACCCCGTGACCAAGTTTACATTTTGCTTTCCTGTTTCCTAGTCTTCTCCCTAATTGCTACGTGACCAGTTGACCTGTTTCCTTTAGAAAGAAATAAAGAAAAAAGCCTTTTTGGTATTCATTCAGCCGGAGTTTATTCAGCATCCCCTGCCGTCCGCACGCTGCCCCTGCCGACAGGTCCACAACTGCTTGTCCACCGCCCGGCTTTACAGCTCCCACCTTGTGTGCCCTGTCCGCACACTTTCTGCCTCCCATAGACAGTTCTCAGGGAAACGGTTGTGCCTGGCATGTAGCTGTTGTTCCAGTCCTTGATACTATGCCTGGCATTTAGAAAAAAAAAGTGCTTAGTAAATGTTTATCATTGAGTTACTTGTTAACTCACCATAAAAACGCTCCATCCTGTCTGATCAAAAAGTATGAGGTTTGACCTTCAGACACACGACCTCGATGCCTTTTTCCTGGTGATGACCCTTGACCTGCTGGCTGGGTCTGTGAACGAGCACTGGGTGAGAGATCCGCATCCTGGGTGGGAATATGGTCCATTCTCACCTTCAGTGGCCCCTGACATGGGGGATTCATACCTGGCTGACTTTCTGACATTATTCTACAGATCCAGTGGTGAGTGCTACATAGTGTAAAGATGGCATTATTGTCATGCACAACAATAAAAAAGTAAGTGGTCAAAGAGGAGAACAAAATGTAAAATAATATATACAGACCTACAATCTGCCTTTCCCTGACATTGCTCAGGAGCAAAAATATTTTAATAAGTTTAATTGCTCAAATTTTTTTTTAACTCTTGTTTTGAAAATACCTTATATGCATTAGTAGACTTTCTGCCCTCGTAATTTAGAATAGTAGACTATTAGTGCTAAAAGGAATCCATCATTTCTGGTTTTACATGAAGAATCACCTGAAACAATTTTTAAATATGCAGATTCTTGGTCCCACTTAAGACCCTCTAGGCCAGCACCCCCTAGGCCACCGGGGAGCTGCCAGCCAACCATGAAAGCCATGGTTCCAGTACAGTTCTTCTCTTTGACAGGGAGGAAACTAACACTCAGAGAGGGGAAAGGATTCATCTCAGGTATCATATCTTGCTAATAGCAGAAAGAATGAGATGCAGGTTTCCTTTCTTTGACTTGATAGTGTTCCTAATCCATTTGTTACTGCAGTTCACCACACAACCTTTTCTCTAAGGAATCAAGAACTCGTCGTGCCTTAGGGTGGTGCTTCTGAACTGGGCTGCACATTGGAATCACCTCGGGGTCTATGAAATACATGGCTGCTGGCTGACACTCCCAGACATTCTGGGGTCGTTAATAGAGGGTGCACCCTGGCCATTAGGATTTTTTCAAACTCCTGAGATGATCCTCACGTGAAGCAAAGTTTGGAAACCACCCTTCAGGATTTTAGTGTAGTTTAAATAAACAGATTATCTTGGAAGAAGTTTTGTTTGTTTCTAAACACTTCCCATATGAACTTGTTTCATTGTTTTTTTAGACTCATTAAAGACAAAGGCTTAAAGTCTTGATTTCTTTGCTTGCAGATTGAGTGTTTTATTAATAGAAGTGCAAATTTAGACAGTAATATAGAGAGATGAATGATCATGGTTTATCATCTTACAGATTAGAAGGAAGAATGATACAAATTTCTTAAAATTCAGTTTTAGAATATAAAGATACAGGTTCCCAATAGTTTGAGATCTTTTAATGTGCAGTGGAGATAGTTGTTTTTGTTGCTGTCGTATGTTGGAATGCATCAGCTAAAACACTAAGTTTAGTCTCCTGGTTTTACAAGTCTACAGTGGGATTATAGAAAGATAAATTGGTAAATTAAATAAAAGTTTCTGACCTATAACTTTAAATTATAATGTTAGTCTTGAAGGTTGTGCTGGTATCTCAATCATTCCATTTTTCCCCACTGAAACTGTTTTACCTACTTATTTTTCTTATTAGATTTAAGATAATCTTAAGATAATGTTAAAACAAAATTAGAAACTTTTTAACATAGTCATATTTTTATGTATAAGTATGTGTTAAGGGATTAGATTCTATTATACACAAAAAATGTTACTATTTCTCCAAAAAGTCTTTTAATTGAATTTTAAAGGTGAAAAAAGTAAGTTTATAAGACATATCTTGCAACAGCTAATTACTGAAGCGTGTCTGTACTGAGATGCAGAACACTGAGGTCTGGAAGATAGGGTAGGACTGACATTTTTATGTTCTCACAAGAGAGCTAGCTTACGTGCCATTTCTGTGGTTATGAAAATGGTGTGGAATTCAGATGAGTCCCATGGCCCTAATGATCTTAAACTGGAAGTAACATGGATAGGTGATGTCCCTTCTGGGCAGCCCTGCAGAGTAGGCCTGATGAGAGCTGTTAATCCCGAATTCTGTGCAATATGAAGGTGCAGGGCCGAAGGTATGAAGATCAAAAAGGTCGGGAAGTGTGAAGCCTGTGGGTGAAGTAGCAGAGTCTCAGTAGATGGCGTGACCCTGGGGGTGGATGCTGGAACCTGCAAGAAGAGAGATGCTGACGTTGGCACCAGAAGATTCTAAGCATAGATTGTTCTCATCTCTGGCTTTCTGCAGTTTCATTGTGATTGTCATACCAGAGTGTTGTCTTTGTTGTTAGCCTACTCGAGAGTCACAGGCCTTCCTGTCTTTCATCTGTTCTGGAAAATTCTCAGTTGTTATTTCTTCTGCCTGTTTTCTCACGCCTCCACTGCTGGGAACACAATCCCACATGTCAGCCTTTGCTCCCATAGTCCGTACCTGGTGATGTTGCCATATCTCTTTCCTCTCATAGCTCTGTATTTCATTCTGGATATTTTCTGTTGACTTCTTTCCCATTTCACCTTTTACTTTTATAAGTCTATTCTGATGCTAACCCTGTGTGTTGAGGTTTAACATTTCATTTATTATTTATTCAGTCCTTGTAATTGTGTTTGAATTTTTAGAGAGATGAATGATCATAGTTTATCACTTTACAGGTTAGAAAAAAGAATAATACAGATTTCTTAAAATGCAATTTTAGAGTGTAAAGGCAATTTTTCATTTCTCTGCCAAAATATTTATTAATCTTGTCTTTTATTTCTTTCAACATAGTGAGCATATTTATTTTGAAATATATACCTGGTAACTCCATTTTCTGACTCCCCCTAGTTTCTGTTTTTATTTTCTATTGTTTTTAGTCATATGTTTGATATCCAATATGCCTGGTTATTTTTTATTTATCTTCCTATCTCAGGAGTTGAGAGGATTTGAAGTTGTCTGGCTTCTTCAAAGAAGGAGCCTTGCAGTGGCAAGAATATAGAAGGATCTCAGTGGTGGGAGTAGAAGCAATGTTGGGTGATGAGAGGGTGAGAAAGCTCTAGCACAGAGGCAGTGTGGATAGTCCATCTAAGGGCAGGTGAGAAGAGCTGCTAGGGTATAGAAGCCTTCTTGAATAAGGAGAACAGGCCATTTGAGTCACTATTTGGTTAAAATAGAAAGCTCATCTTCCTGCTCTTTCCTCTCCTCTCG